CCACTGCTGCCGCTGTAGACTTCCTTGGAGCCGACTCGATTGGTGCTGCCTCCACTTCTGCTGGGCGGCGCCGCACCGGCAAGGGCAAGGGGGGCAAGGGCGGTGGTGGCGGTGGCGGCGGAGGAGGAGGTGGAGGAGGTGGAGGTGGCGGTGGGAGTGGAGGCAGTGGCGGCGGAGGTGCTGGTGGGAGTGGTAGCGGCGGTGGAGGAGGTGGTAATGGTGGCGGCGGTGGGAGTGGCGGTGGTGGCGGTAGTGGCGGTGGTGGTAGTAGCGGCGGTGGTGGAGGCAGCGGAGGCGGTGGCGGTCGTGGTGGAGGCGCTGGTCAGAGACAGCAGCAGCAGCGGTCCCTTACGCCTCAGCAGCTTCGTGAGTGGTTGGCTCAGAGGGGTACGTCTGGGGGTACTCGCTGTCCGTATGTCATTCGCACCGGTGAGCGTGCTGGTCAGACATGCGGCAAGCCCCACCCCCAGCAGCGTTGCTTCTCCCGCCTTGACGACGCCTGGCGTGAGGAGATGGGTGCAGAGGTTGAGACCCCTCGCTGGTTTGATCTGCTTAAGAAGGGTGTAGACATCTTTGCTCTTGACTATGATGCTATTCTTTCTGCCATGTATGCATTGTCTGTTAGTGCTGAGGGTGACTGCTACCTGTGTCTGCAGCCTGATCCAGGTATAGAGCCAGCAGCTCTTGGTGCGTGCGAGTCTGAGCTCTCAGGTACCATGTCCGCTGCCTCAGGTGCGGGTGAGTCTGCGCTGTCAGGTACTGTGCCTTCTACCGCCTTGCACACCTTCACTCTTGACTCAGGTGCTTCACCTCGGTTGTACCAGATTCGCCGCTCCATTCAGCTGCAATTACAGAACCTAAATCGTAACCTTGAATCGGCAGATTGAATTACAGAAAAGGTGTTTCTGTAATCAACAAACTCCCCCTTAATCTGGCGATTTTACACCACGCACCCTTTGCTTCTGACTCACCCCAATTGTGTTAATCAGTCCTGAACCGACTTGTCCGCTCCCCCACTTGTGACTAATTTCTGAACAGCTTTGTCTGTAACCCATTGCTCTCCGCACATGCCTCTCCAGCTTCCTTCAGCATCCCGTGACAACCCCATAGTCATTGCTGCTTCGTCAAACACCCCTTGCTTGCTCCTATCATCTCTCTCAACAATCTGCTTCTGTCTTGATAAATCCATGCAGCTTCATCCTGTGCTCAGCTGCTTCCGCACGTCCTGTGTTTGTTATCACATTCGGTGCTCCACCACTCTCTTGTGACACGAGCTTAATGGCGTCGCTCCTCCCCACACCTTTTCTGCTTCATTGCCGTTGAAAATTTTGCACACCCCTCCGCTAGTTTGCACACCCATTGCTTGAGCTTCTTCAGAGCTTTGACAAATGCCAGCATGTTTTGAGCTTCCACAGCATCACCAAACAGCGCACTGTAGCCTCCATTGATTTTCTCACCACCCTGTTCCTCCATATTGACAATGTTGTCCTGCTTCATCCGCCCCTCGGTTGGTTCATCTCGGTTGATTGCCTTCCATCCTGTCCTGCTCTTGGACAACCTTTCCTTGCTTGTATCCGCCAAGTAAGGATTTGACTCGTCTGCAGTTCCTCCCTTTATACCTTGCAACTCATCCTTGGAACTTTCATCGTCCTTCTTCCTGCTGAGAGCCTCTACTTCACTCAACTGTGCTGATGGCACAAATTCGCACACCTTCACCCTCGCACTAGCGTTACTCCCCCTGAATGTAACCCTCCTCTTAATGTTGGATATCTTCAACTTCAAACAGGACGCAATGACCTTCAACGCTCAACCAGCTGCATTCCTATCTGCTTCAACTCACTCACTGCTGCTGCACTGATTTGCGATGTCTCCCCCTCAACGATGCACCCCTTTTCAGCCAGTCCTGTAGTGACGCCACTCCATGATATGGCAGGCACCCGCCACAACTCATTATCAAGGCCCCATTCTTCGCGCAGCTCCCAAAGCACTCTGCTCCCGAATCTTCCCTTAAAGCGTCCAGCTTTGCTCTCGGTGTTCACCCCAGCAAGAGCCAGCTTCCTTAGCGAGATCAAGCTAGCTGTCATCTCCGGGACGAACAACACTTTTTCAATTATGACTGGTTTCATCACAAAAACACAATGCCAAGTTTGGACGAATTTTGATTTCGATTGTCTTCGCGTAAAAAAATCCGGAGCCAATTTGGACCGACGGTTGGAGTCATTTGATAGGAGCTCCGAGACACATCTCGCGACAAGGTTTGGCTCGGTTCAAGTTCCAATTTGGCACGCGAGCTTTTCCGGATGACATTCGGGCGCAATCCGTTTTGTTGCAAATTCGTGACCAAATTATTCAAAACTAAATTCTGTTTTTGTTCATTTTGGATATTGAGGATTTCAAAATTGCATTTATTATTGCGGTTTACAAGAACCATTATTCAGCATTCTAGCAACAAGCAGTCTTAGCACCAGGTCAAATAGCCTACGCACTGGCGGGCCTTGAAAGCGCCCGGTGGGCAAGGACGACATCTCCAAGGTCGCCGTCGTCGATGAGGAACTTGTTCGGAAAGACGAACGCACCCATAGCCGGATCGTGGGGGATCCTCCGCTCCACGACAGCAAAATGGATCATCTGTTTGACCTTTTCGCACCACTCCTGGTAGTCTGGCCTGTTCTGCTCCGGCTGGCTACTGATTCGCTTACGACGCTTATCCTGCAGAAGGGGCCATTCGATCTGCAATGTGGTGTAGGGTTGGGTGGATGGTTTATGAGGAGGGTAGGTTACGGGTAAATGAGGCAACTGAAAGCGGTGATGCAGTCGTCACTATCTACGTAACTGCAAAGGCCTAATCGACCAGGGTTTTAGCTGAAGTACAGGCAAGGGGTTAAGGGGATGAGGCATGGGGGTACAAACACATATCTACATCCTTACCGAAAACAGGCCCCATGCCACCATGCGGCTCTTGAACTTGGTGAACACCGCCCCGCCCCTCTTGAAGGAGAGCTTGAACGCATAAGCGAACAAGGGGTTGCTGAAGGGTGTCCCGGTGGCCTTGTCAAAGTGCCAGTTGAGGGCCCACTGTTCTGCTTATTGGCAGGGAGGGTATGGGTTGGAAAGGGTTTTGTAGAGAAATCAAATGGGGGGATGAGAGTCAGGGTGAGCCACATCGCACGGTGATATGTAGCTGCCAAGGGGCATATGGTAGGGCATATTGTGTTTTCGAGTTGCACTGCACATACCATCTCTGTACTCGGCTAGGAGTTGATCGTCGTCGAACCAGGTCGTTGGGTGTAGCTCAGTGGGCAGGCTATCCACGAGATGGCTGTAATCGGCAAGGCCCATGCCGGTGTATGCTGCTGGCCTGAGGGTGGAGTTGATAGTTGACCTTCTTGAGGACAGCTGGTGGTTGAAGACTCCCATGGTTGACTTGTCATTGTGCAACCACAGCAGCTTCATTGCCTCGAGCCCTTTTGCAGACAAGTGGACAGAGAACGCTTCGAACACTTCCTCCGGTGCAGGGTAGTACTGTATTTTCTCCGGCGGGTTCAGAAACATGAGCTGAGAGCACACTAAGTAGGCTTTGTTCTGCGCAGGGGTGTAAGGTATACAACACGACATGGAAGAGAGAAACCAGCAGTTATGAGGGTGGCCGCGTGACCATGGGATGGTGACTAGCAACACTGTTTGAACTTGCCACGTCACACCCTGCGCCATCCGACACGTCCACCAACAACCCGGCCCACTTGCCACGTCACACCCCCCTACCACAAGCCACGTCACCCCCCACCCACCTGACACGCCTCGCTTCGTCATGCGCAGTGGTCACGTGTACCATTTCTAACCGCCACGTCATCCCCAACCCTCACCTTCCGCCACGTCACACCCACCTGCATCCGCCACGTCATCCCCAACCCTCACCTTCCGCCACGTCACACCCTCCTTGTCCGCCACGTCCACCAACCAGCCCCACGTGCCACGTCACACCCTCCTGCATCCGCCACGTCCACCAACAACCAGGCCCACGTGCCACGTCACACCCTCCCACCCCATGCCACGTCACCCCCCACCCACCTGACACGCGTCGCCTCGTCACGCGCCGCTCCCGTGTACCATTCCAAACCGCCACGTCAGCCCCAACCCTCACATTCTGCCACGTCACACCCTTTTGCATCCGCCAACAACCCGCCCTACTTGCCACGTCACACCCCCCACCAAGAGCCACGTCACCCCCCACCCACCTGAGACGCCTCGCTTCGTCATGCGCCGCTCACGTGTACCCTTTTAGGGTGCCACGTCATCCCCAACCCTCACCTTCCGCCACATCACACCCACCTGCATCTGTCACGTCATCCCCCACCCTCACCTTCCGCCACGTCACACCCTCCTGCATCCGCCACGTCCACCAACCAGCCCCACGTGCCACGTCACACCCTCCTTGTCCGCCACGTCCACCAACCAGCCCCACGTGCCACGTCACACCCTCCTGCATCCGCCACGTCCACCAACAACCAGCCCCACGTGCCACGTCACACCCTCCCACCCCATGCCACGTCACCCCCCACCCACCTGATACGCGTCGCCTCGTCACGCGCCGCTCCCGTGTTCCCTTCGAAACCGCCACGTCAGCCCCAACCCCGCCCTTGTTGCCACGTCAACCCCAACCCTCCCCATGTGGCCCGCCACATACCGGGAATGGGTTTGTCTCCTGCAACACTAGCACTCGTGCCTTGTCCACGGCGCTCATCGGCGGCGGGGTACCAGCCATAGGCAGGGCTGCCGACCCGCCGGCATAGCTGGCAGGTACTCCACGACGCAGGCCGAGCTGTGCAAACATGGCGTACATCTCAGACCGCAGCGCCTGGAACTCCTCCCGTGTAACAAACTGCTCGTGCTCCGCACTTTCACCTAGGGCACCCATGAGCGGAGGAAAAGGGTTTGAAGAATCCCCCCTCTGGCCAAGGGGATCAACGTCTTCTGCAGCAGTCCCGTGTGCCCTCACACTATCACGCTGGCGGGAAAAGGGGAGCTCAGGGAAGGGATTGGCATAACTGCCTGCCTGATGCCCGCGCGAAGGATCGGCGAGAGGGGAGACCGCCCTGCCCCGGACAGGAGAAGCGTGGAGTTGCCGAAATTGGTACGAGGGTGAGGCGAGTGGGGACTGCGTGACGGGGGCGGGTGGAGGGGATTCGGATTCCTCTCCTCTTGGCGCGCCTGGTGCCGTCGCAGCGACTTTGCTCGGGCCGGCCCATGGCGTGTAGTACCTAGCGGTGTAACACTCGCTCTTCCGGCAGCCTTCGTTAGATGCATTCGTTGCACGCTTACGGGCGGCCCAATGCCTGTAACGCGAGGGGCTGAGATGTAGAGGGAGCCGGAAAAAAAATTTAGAGTCGATCGGTTTCAAGGCGGGGCCAGACATGCATGCATATTCAGAAAGGTTTGAATCTAGATCGGGTTCAGGGTTGTACTGGTTTGAGACAAGAGGGTTTACCTTGCTTGGCAGATTCGTCGACCTTCTCCTTCCCTGCATGGGAGAAACAATGTGAAAAAAGGGTGTTTTTTGGCACGGTTTAGCAGATGGTTCAACACGTCACGCCAGTTTTATTGGACACAATGCTCACCTTTCTGCTGTCCCTTCGGTTTTGGGGCAGCCTGCGCCTTCTCGTTGCCACCTTTCCGCGGGGTGCTTTGGCGGACGCTGCGACGTTTACCGGCAGGTTCTTTCTTGCTGGTACCCACTGGAACCCCTTTGGCGCGGCCACCCTTTCCTCCTCCATCCCCTTTTGCTCCCTGGCTCCCTTGCTTTTTACCAACCCCTTCACTTTCGACCTTCACCTTACGCGCCTTCGGTTTGCCCGATGCTTCGCCGCGCGCAGCGTCAACTGCCCCGCGTTTTCGGGAAGGGCGAGTCCGGCCCCCCTCCTTCCCTGTACCACTCACCCGTCTGCCACGCCCGCCCCGTCCCTTCACTGGCGCCACCTCCTCCTCCTCCTCCTCCTCCTCCTCCTCCTCCTCCTCCTCCTCCGCTGCCTCCTCCTCCTCCTCCTCCTCCTCCTCCACATCCTCCTCCTCGTCGTCACCCTGCTCCTCCTCCTCCTCCTCCTCCTCCTCCTCCTCCTCCTCCTCCTCCTCCTCTGCCTCCTCCTCCTCCTCCTCCTCCTCCTCCTCCTCCTCCTCCTCTGACTCCTCCTCCTCCTCCTCCTCCTCCTCCTCCTCCTCCTCCTCATCCTCCTCCTCCTCCTCCTCCTCCTCCTCCTCCTCCTCCTCCTCCTCCTCCTCCTCCTCCTCCTCTTCGTCCTCCCCGCCATCATTCTCATCTTTTTCATCCTCCCCAACATCCGCGTCATCCTCCTCCGCTTCCTCTTCATCCTCCTCTCCCTCCGCATCCTCCTCCTCATCCTCCTCCTCCTCCGCATCACCGGGGTCTTCATCGCCCCGTTTCGGCTTTGTTCCCGTCGCTGCTTTCTTGCCTCTCCTCCCGCCGGATGCTTTTCTTGCTGTGGGTCAGCCCTTCTGGCGCAATGCTTGACCGCCCGCCTTGCCACTAGCTTCCTTGGCGCCTCGCGGTGTCCCAACTGCCGCGCCTCCGGCGTCGTCAGCACTACCTGTCGTCTGCCGCCTCTTCGCCCGCGTAATGAGATCCCCGGGCACGGCGGTGTCATAATCGTCCTCCCCATCGCTCTTCCTCTGCCTACGCCTCCCCCGTCCACCAGAAGGTGGAGAGCCACCGACCAGCCCCACCGACTCGTGCTCCCCCACCTTGTCCTTATCCAGCACGGCTGCAGAAACTTCGACCACGGTCGGCTGGAGCAGCGTCAGATGGTGTTGCGTTGCCGCCGCCTCGGACTCCTTGGTTGCGGCATGCTCGGCGCGGGGATCGCCTCCGTGATTTCCCTCCGTCGCCGATCCCTCCATCTCCGCCGACGGGAGTGCAAGACTCGCGCTCCCTCGCCCCGGATCTTCGTTGCTGCCAGTGGTGCCGTCTTTACTCGGACCGGGCTCGGTTCCAGCAGAGGCAACATCCGCATCTTTGTTCACTGTAGAAACACTCTTGCGTGGCGTTGGTTTAGGCCCCTTGTCTTCCGCTTTCTTGCCGGCCTCCTGTTGACCGCGCGCGACCTTTTTTGCCGCCGCTTTTTTCTGCCCAATGCCACGAGCGACGGACGCATTAGTTTTTTTAGCGCCGCCACCACACTCCCTATCGATCTGTTTAGACGTCCTCCTTGTCGCGCGGCGGCCGGCCTGTTCCTCCTCCATTGCTTGGTTACGTGTTGCACGTGTCATGGTAATTGTAGGAGGAGCAAAGTTGCAAATCGCGCGGAAGGGTTGAGCCGGTTTTGAAAGGGTTCTGCAACTGAATCCCACGATGGGATTATCGACGGTCTATCACTGTTATGTGTTTCCGAAAACCGCCGCTTCAACTAAATCTGTCATAGTAGCCACTATGCTTCGCGCTAAGGCCGATCTGGAGAGGCGTGTGTCAAGGCAACGAGCAGCGTCAAAGTGTTGGTCCAGGGAGTGACGGAAGCAGGTGGGTGGGACACGAGGGTGGTTGGTGTGGGTTGCGAGACTAGAGAGAGTAATGTAACCCTATCAGGCTATATTGGACGGTGTACGTGTAGCCACCCTAGCATGAACCCACCTACCGCTCGATCTCAGCCGCTCAATGGCTGAAGTACCTCTTGGCTGATGACTGTGTTGCGGGGGGAATCGTTTGAGATGCGTCGGCCAATCACGGTTGCCAACGCATAAATCACTAAATTTTATTCAAACATACAACAATGCATTTCATCAAACTCTAAGTTGCAAATGGTTTACCACGGGGTTGGGGTAAGTTAATCGGTGATTCTTACGTCACACACACAACGACCGTCCAAAATTATTACTTGCGACAGATGTACTGTGCACTTTTAGGCTTTGCCACAATGGTTTAGGGCTAGCGGACGACATTCTAACACGATTATCAATAGTAAGAAACGTGAATCCGTTGTGGTATGGTGTTGGATTGTCATCCATTCTTGCACAGACATTAAACAAGGTGCTTAGAAGGAGTGGTATGAAGCACAGGCCCAACGCACAAGCGTAGATGCGTTATCGACAGCCATGGTTAGACTGTGCGACGATGCAGCGTTCAGGCCTGCGGGTTGCGCGACATGGTGAATCCGTTGTGGTATGGTGTTGCATTGGCATCCATTCTTGCACAGACATTAAACAAGGTGCTTAGAAGGAGTGGTATGAAGCACAGGCCCAGCGCACAAGCGTAGATGCGTTATCGACAGCCATGGTTAGACTGTGCGACGATGCAGCGTTCAGGCCTGCGGGTTGCGCGACATGGTGAATCCGTTGTGGTATGGTGTTGCATTGTCATCCAACATTGCATGGACATTGAAACCGTTGTGTTATTGTACGACATTGTCATCCATTCTTGCATATTCATTCAGCACGGTGTGTAGAGGTACACTACACCTCGAGAGAAGACACGCTATAGGTATTCGCTCCACGCAACAATCATACGTTAGGGCATGGAGTTATTGGTTACTTCCCGTATCGTTATCAAGTAAGGGTTGTTCAACATCAGTCCTAAGGATATGAATGTTTACTAGTTATGAATGACTTGAGTGTCTTGTTAAGTTGTAATTGTACATTTGCATTTCCATGTTTGTTTGAAGCCTCTTGAGCTCACCTACGTGATTCTGATTTCCCCCCTATATCGATTCGCGACACAATCACAGATCCAAACGGATCTCTTCCCGCTCTTCCTCATCCCCCTCGACTCTCACGCACGGTTCCTAAACACAAGTTCTTGATTCAATAGGCACGTCCTTCGCGACGCACACACACGACCGTGAGACTTAAGATCCTCCGCATTCTCCTTTGCTCATGTCGTGGTCACTCTAAACGGGGGCGACACGCCTTGTAGTGAAGACGGCCCGTGAGGTGGGCGGTCTGTATCGTGCCTGGTAACGACCACGCGGCTCGACATCGTTAGCCAGTCATAAACATTAGCGCCAATGTCAAGTGCCAGTCGTGCAGTGATACAAGCCGCCCACCACAGTGCGCGCATTGGCGATGATCGTGTAGCTGTCACAGGCTTCTTGAACGGAGTACTTAATGCGTTCACAAGCTTCATCACGGCTAGTAGCTTCATAGGCGATTTCTCGACTCTACAACGGATCCGTAACACATGGGCTCTTTACCAGGCGTCGTCTGCGAGTTCTGCAACAGATGGTTCCCCAACGCCCAAGTTTATGGCGGTCATAAGTCACGGCGGACCCCTTGCCAAGGACTATCCGCCGTGGCAAGGCCGACGCGATCTGCACCGACCGCCGGTCTTCACGCTCTGCTATTCGTCCACGACATTCTGTCGAACGCTCCAGCCGCTCCCGGTTCACCTACAGCGTCTAACGCATCCAACGCCGTCAGTGTGAGCGGTCCTCCACGCGTGCCTGAAGCTCACGTTGACGAAACTCCCAACGACGTGAACGAGGGGCCTCCTGAAGATGAACATCAACCACAACCAGGAGCTCCTGCGGCTGACACGAGTGACCATCCTGAGAGCCGGCCCGAAAAGAGTCATGCCGCGCCGCCAACAATCATCTCCGGACAGAGCAATGCCACGCCCCTCAATCCGCTCACGTTGAAGCTGTTGCATTTCGTTCGGCGCGTGAATGGCGGAATGAGAATGGCCGAGGTTGACATCAACGGCCTGCTTCAGCTAGTCGTAGAGCCCGGCCTTGCGCCTCTTGTGATCTCGGAGCTCCGGAACTGTAAGGATCTGGAGCGGTTCGAGATGGAGCGTTTGGCAGGGCTCAATCGCGGATGGTCGGTGGCGACCTTCAAGATTGACGGTCATCCACCACAGCGCTTGCTCTTTCAGAACTCAGCCCAGGTAAGCCGACTTTGCATTCAAGGCCGTGAAATGATGATGAGGCACACAGGGTTTGCATGTACGTATTTATCCTTGTATTAACCGTACACCCACCTTCACCGCCACTAACCATGCCTCTCCTCTCACCTGCCTTCGCCACCGTACACCAGGCATTCGCTGAAATGTTTGGACATCCCAACAACGCGCCCGGCTTCAAGCTCAAGGCGCGTGTTGATGAGGACCCTGACGCAGGCAGCCGTCGCTATACCACGCCTGAAACAGGAACGTGGTGGAACGATGCTCAGGTAAGGAAAGACCACGTTGCCACCCCAAACCCAATCCTTCCTCATGCCTCCATCGCTGCACTGATCTGTCAAGGGCATCTTGAGCCCTAAACCGTGTGTCCGTTGCCGCTTTGTCATGCACTGCAGGAACACTTCGGTTGGTCCGAAGTTGTGGGGGGGATCATCTTATATTCGGATGTGACGCACATGAGCATCAACGGCCGGAAGAAGGCGTGGCCGCTCATGATGACGCTGGCCAACATCTCCCAGGCCAAGCGATGGGGGAAAGCCGGGCACACACTACTTGCCCTCCTTCCTATCCCCCCGTCTGCAATGTCTGCCGTGGAGAAGGTGATGCTCTTCCAGCGTTGCGTCATCACCGTGCTGCAGCCGCTTCTTGATGGCATTGCCAGGTCCGTACTCGGTTTGCATCTTGCTAAGACATCATCTCACCACCTGCATGGTATGCAAACCCTCTCTGTATGTAGCATGGCCCTTTGCCCCTCGTCGTTCCTCCCTAAAAGCCGTAACCCGAATTCCTGTTGCCCCTCTACCTGTTCCTTGCAGCGGGTTCCGTCTCAGGGACCCTTTCGGTGATTGGCAAACCGTGCGGCCCCTGCTGTACGCCTGGGTGTGAGACTACCCCGAGAGCGGCAAGATCAGTTGCACACTCTCGCATGGATCGCGGATGCCGTGCAACATCTTCTATGCTGCAAAGGTGAGGTCACATGCCATCTGCACGCATTCAAATACATTCTCGTTTGTGGGTCGCCTGATAGAACCCACATAGCTACCACCCTTACCTTTTCTATCCCATCCCTCACCCCCGTGCTACAACAGGAGCATCTGAGTGCTGTCAAGGCACGGAACATGCCGCGCACGCCTGAACAGCAGCAATGGATCGTTAACGAGGCGGCTGGGACGACAACTAGCCAGGCTGACCCGTGCAAGGCCTACTCTACCTACCCTGTTGAGGTGAGTGACCTGTTTCCCCGGCCCATGAGTAGTCTATGCTCTCGCCCGCCCCGTCATGAATTGCCAGATGTGCTCTGCCCCATTGAACTCACCCCACTTGTGGTTTAGGTTAGCTATCCACTCTCACGTACATCTCTCCTCCATTCCCCACCACATCCCCATTTCCAGTGCGTGCTCTGGAAGTGGGATGTCCCAGGGACCGCGTGGGGCAATCCCTACCTCGTGGTGATGCCTGACATCATGCACCAGGCGGACCTGGGCATCATGAGCCACATTGTGGCTGTCGTGCGCAAGATGAAGAAGCGGCGTGTGAAGCAGATGGACAGGTCAGTGTTTTGGGGATTGGATTCGTTGCTCTTCGTCACATTTACTCAAACCATAAGTTCTGTCCTATTACTGACATGTTTCTGCCCTTTTGCCACCGCTGAACTGATGTGTATGGGCAGGCGCCTGTCTCTCATTCGCGACCGCACGCGCCTGAATCACATGCGCCTGCCGGAGAGCGCCTACTTCGAGACCGGAGCATGTGTGGCGGCCTATGAGCACAGGGCCGTCATGCAGGTATGAACCCTCCATTCCCTGTTGCTTGTCCTGGCCTAAACCCTCAAGCAGTCTGCTCATGCTGCCATTGTTTGTCCCAACTCCTCACACCATCTGTGCTCACCCTCCCCTTTGCTGCTATCCACATTCTTTGCAGGTCATGGTGTTTGTTTTTGCAGGCCTGCTTCGCCAGCCCCAGATGGATGCCGTTCGTGCCTATCTTGGCTGGTACATCCTGTGCTCCCAGC